TAAGTTGAACGGAACTGATATGGCAATGATAAGCAAGACACAGATCATCATAGCTTGGTACGTGGTCATTCTGACGTCATGCGTACGATTGGTGGTAAGAAAAATTTAATTGGTTACGGCTAATATGTAATCCAGAGTTGCCATCTGTACCCCATTTCGACCTTTTGTACCCCACAAAAATTTGTACCCCTGGAGTACGCGTTTTTTGTACCCCATTTGAACTTTTTTCACTTTACACTACTTATGAACCATTTTTAAACAGAAATTCGAAAAACTGACCGTAGAGCCTTAAATCATTTTCTAGAGATGTGAACTGTGAATCATGTGAATAGGCTAAAAGACCTGCAAGTGGCGTAATATTGCATTTATTTGGACTTGTCTTTTTTATTAACTTTCTATTGTCGTCCTAAAAGTCAAACTGAATTTTTGATGGATCATTTAAATGGAATGCTGAAGTTACTATAATGGCTCGCCAGCAATGATCAAATGAATGAAAAAGTAACAAAGATAGAATCAGGTAACTTAGAAGGTGCCAATCACAACAGACTGGATATTAATTCTATTCCTTCCTCAAAAATCGAAAATGGCCTCTTCACTGTCGTCAGAAGAGAGTTGTTTGACAATATGGAGGCCCTCCACACTTTCTTCCGCAAAATCGAATGTCAAATAGTAACTTTAAAAGAGAAAGGTTCAAATGAATATGAAAATTTTTCTCTTCACAACGATCAGTAACTATACAGGCGTAATTCACGTAAAAATAAGCAATTTTTTTGTTTTTTTCTGCAAAATGTTAATTTTTCTTTGCAAACAGCTTCCTGTTCACAATTTCCACCAAAATCGCCGCCTTTGGCGGCAAAAACGTCACTAAATTTTCTGAATGAAACGTAAAAAAAGCTTTTCTTTTTGAAAAGCTAACAGAGCAAAACAGGATCATCCAAAATTTCGGTCAAAAGTTTTTGATTCGAGGAAATTAACATGTGTGTTACCCTGGCCGATTCACCGACACTTCCGCGCGCGACACCTGCGCGCAATGCGTCTACTTGAGGGTGAGGGCGCGCAAGTGTCGCGCGCGGAAATGTCGGGCGCGGAAGTGTCGTGCGTGGTAATGTCGGCGCGGAAATGTCGGCACGGTAATGTCGTGCGCGGAAATGCCGTGTCACGACCCTGGCCTACGACAAAGGCTTTCCGTTTTATTTTTATCCAAAATTTCTTTTGTTTTTCCACAAGATCTTTACTTTCGAACAGATGTTGTTGCAAGCATAACAGTCTTCGACGGTAAAATGGTGAAGAAAAGTTTTTCAGTCAAATGCAAAAATGCGTTTTTCTGTGGAAGTTGTAAGACAATACCTAAGTTTTCTAGCAGTTTGCAAAAAGCTCTCATTTGGGAGAATCGCTCTGAATTTGGAGGGTTGATTAACTTTTTCTAAAGTTCATCTTTTTGGATGAAAACTGATTGAAAGTGACGAGATTTTGGTCAATTTTTAGACTACTAGAAAATGTTACATCGGCTCTAATGTGAAACATTTTCCCCTCTTTCAATCGTGATCATCTCGAGTCACTCTCGTGCAACAGACTTATGCCATTAGTTTCTATAGTTAACGTCCTTTTTAATTGAACTTTTTCACTTTGTTTACTGTGGCGATGGTTTTCTGGAAAGCGCTTTATTTAGGGCTTGTTCTTTGCAAAAAAAAGAACATTTTAGATCTTTTTTTTTCGAACGAGGAAAGGTCAATATGCAGTCTTTCACTATGGGATACACTTTTCTCGGTATTTTTTTTACAGCACTGGCCTGTACTTTGAAAAACTGATGTACCTTAGAGATGTGCCCCATTTTGAAAATTTTTGTACCCCACATGTACCCCATTGCGAACTTCCTGTACCCAATTTGGGACCTTATGAGATGGCAACCCTGTAACTCGGTCGACCGTTAGATTTTTTCTTTTCTGATCTGACTATAGAAAATATGTACCGGGTGATTCCTTTTTTTCTAGATATTGCTCAATTGTTGAAACGATTATTAATCAAGAAAATATTTCTTGGTAAGGCATAATTAAACAAGTCTTATTGAATGCTGTTTTTTCTGATAGGTATATTTAATTTCTGTAACAATTATAATTCAAAGAAAAATTTATTGCTGAAGTAAGATTAAACAATAGTTCGGTTGTATTCTTTTTTTTGTTGTTATAGATATAATTCAATAATTATTAGTTGTTGTTGAACAAGATCGTTATTGGTAAGATACAATCGAAAAATAACTTTATTCAATTTTTTTTCTTATAGATACGTTTAATTATCTGTAACAATTATAATTCAAAAAAAAAGATATATATTACTGAAGTAAGATTAAACAATAGTTTGGTCGCATTCTGTTTTGTGGAACTCACGTATGTTTTCGAAGAAAATAGTGAGTGTAAGTTTTCAGTTCGAGGTTTGGCGGCTCCCCCACCCCATTACAGACACTTAGCAACGGGAAAGAGAACATTACAGACATACCCCCCATTACAGACACCCCCATTACAGACAGGCCACCATTACAGACAACCCCCCATTATAGACCTCAGCAACCGCGCACATAAGGATTCAGATTCTATACAATATTCTAATGCATTCATAAATATTTGAAGAAAAAAGTATTTTTTTATTTTACAAGTAATGCATTAGAATAACAAATTGGAAGGATATACGTGAGTTCCACATTTTAGCTCCAAAGGAGCTGCGCTGACAAGCTTTTTTTGTTGCTCTAGATATTATTCAATATTTGTTACAGTTGTTGTTGAACAAAATCTTTATTGGTAAGGTACAATCCTAAAATAACTTTATTCAATTCTTTTTTTCTTCTAGGCATATTTAATTATTCGTAGAAATTCTAATTCAAAAAAAAATATTGCTGAAGTAAGATTAAACAATAGTTTGGTTATATTCTTTTTTTGTTGTTCTAGAAATAATTGAGTAATTGTTACAGTTGTTGTTGAACAAAGTCATTATTGGTAAGATAAAATCCAAACGTAACTTTATTCAATACTTTTTTTTTGTAGATACATTTAATTATTTGTAACAATTGTAAGTCAAAAAAAAAAAAGATATTTATTGCTGAAGGAAGATTAAACAATAATTTGTTTGTATTCTTTTTTTTTTGTTGTTCTAGATATTATTCAATATTCGTTACAGTTGTTGTTGAACAAAGTCCTTATTGGTAAGGTAAAATCCAAAAATAACTTTATTCAATTCTTTTTTTCTTCTAGGCATATTTAATTATTTGTAACAATTATAATTTAAAAAAGAATATTGCTGAAGTAAGATGAAACAACAGTTTGGTTACTAAAAAGGTTGTCTTGTACTCATTCTCATATTTTATCTAAGTGTTTGTTTGTTTTTCTCTAATTGTGTGAACATTACTTTTAATTGCTGATCCAGAAATTGTTTTATGTAAACGTCTCTAGTCATTGTTATTATTTGTGTGCTTTTTAACTCAGTGATGAACTAGGTTTTTTTTTGTTACGTCGTGTGAAATTGTATGCTCATCATATTTTGTATGCCTTTTATGTGAAGCTGATAATAAATTAATAAAAGATTATTGAAAGCAATTTTTTAATATAAGTAAATTAATAGAAATCATTGGGTACTAATGTCATATGAACTCAATAAAAACCGGCGGATAACCGCGAAAAACCGGCGGTAACCGCTCAATAACCGGCGGTAAACTCTTCAGTTATACGATCGGTATACCGGCGGTTTTTTAGCGGTTCGTACCACATGGGTGAGAACAAATCCACTTTAATCTCATTTCTTATCAATTGTTTTTACATAGGTATTCTTCGAAACCCCATGAAAAATAGACAAAAGAAGCGATTATTTTATAGAAACGTTTTTAATTTGTTAACACAATATTATAGGTTAAGCAGCAATTTAAGTAGTCATTTCAGAATATCATAACGATTATTGCTCAAATTGGGTTTGTAAATGAATATCAAAACTTGATTAAAACAGAAAAAAACGCACATATTTTAAGATAGGTTTCCGTCTTCCAGCGTAGTTCTGTGATAGTTTTCATTGACAATTGCTTAGAACGATACGATAATTGAAAATTTCGAAATAACTTCTAATATCTACAAGTATTTCTACTGTCACTTTTGAACTCTTATAACGTTCCGTATATTTTGCGTTGGTACTTAGTAAAGAGCTGAACACTGAATGGTCAACGATGTTTTAAAATTGCACATATTAACATTTTTTTTACCAAAATCTTTCTAATAGAAATAAGAATCATCTGAACATGTGACTATGTAGATTTGTAATACTTATTAGTAGTAAAATTATTTTGTAGTGAACTTGATTTATTTCAATAAGTTAAAATATATGTATGAAGTGTTAGTAAGACTAGCTAGATAAAAAGAACGAAGAAAACGAAAGGAAAAAGTGTTCGCAATAATGGCACAGCAGCGATATATTTATCACCAGCGAAGATTTTGAAGCCAATAGGCTCCGTAAGGGCCACCTTGAGCATATCTGACACCAATCGCCTTAAAACCTTTATTCATGAGGCTGGCACAGTGTCTCGCGCTGTTGATCCAAGCAGTGATTGTCTTTTCAGGAGTCTGATTACCATCAATATTTTCGCCCTCAGCATAATTCCTTGAATATCCTTCATCTACTATACGATCCAAAAAACTCTTTCCATCACTACCTGTATGAGCAAACTAGTTATATCGAATATGATGAGTAGTTGGTTATTATTCTTATTCAAATATAACCTTTCCCTAATGGATACACTACTCTCGAGATGAGAAAGGGTGTGGGTGTAGAAAGAAAATGAATCCAAGACACACACTCACACCTTATGCTCGTATAAATGCAAAAAATGTGATTTATTTCCTCATCAATTAAAAGGAATAGTCGGATAAGTTAAATTAAATAACAAAAGTATATCAAGAGAACTTCAAGAATAGAATATCCGCTTGTCTTGTATTATGAAAAAATGAAAACCGATTTAGTAATCCTTATTAACCACCACCACATCCACCACATCCACCACATCCACCACCACAACCACCAAGACTTCCACCTCCATCTTCAGCTACATATATTACACAATCTCCGTCTTCGAACCTGTCAAAACCTCCGCTATCATCTGCCTCTGTAGATTTAGATTTGATTGTAGAACAACCTCCGCATAAGATTATATATTTCCTGTTGTCTTCAACCATTTTCTCATGCCTTTTGCGAACCATAGCACAGGAGGTTAAAGAAAAATTTTTCAGTAGCTGTTCTTGATTGGCAATTTGACCATACTTCGAATTGTAAGTCGTTTCCCATCGGTCAGCTGTTTCCCGATACAATTTTTCTAATGTCTGTTGATCTATAGAATCATTATGATCAAGTAGAAAACCACACAAATCGATGGTTGCTTCTCGATAAAATGAAGGATATCGCATGTGTGTATGCCACAGTAAATCGATCTCGAATGTGGGCACGATAATTGTGTCTTTTTTTGCTAATTTTAAAAATGATACGTAATTTTGTACATTCGCTTCAAAAGATGACAAATCGATATGTTTGGAAAGAATGTTTTTCTGGTGATAGAGAGCATGATTTTGAAATTTTTCGAGAAATTTGCTTTGACGAACAACAGCTTTTGCCAAATCAAATGACGGGTTAAATGTTACACCGTTGCTTTTTGGTGTGGACTCGTCAAAAAAACTCCATTTCCTTTGATCACTGCTTTCGATTCTCACATACTTTTTATCCACCAATTCGTTGTTTGGTAACTGTGTCGTACAATCATGAAAGTACGCAACTGGATGAAGACGATGCACATGCCAAATCCAATCAATTTGCCATGGTAGTAACCATTGTTGATACGAAGTTCCCATTTCATCGTTTTGCATGCGAATGCAATATTGTTTTATGAAGTAATCTAATGTTGTTCCTTCTTTGGTCATTTCTGGATGAGCAATAACTTCACGAAGCAGTTTAGCATGGTCAATTAGAGCTGAATATGTTAGAGCAAATAACTTGTTGCTACTCGTACAAACCTGCACACCCGGAAGTCGAACAGCAGATATGAGATTTCCCATTGTTGATCAATCAAGTACGTGAGGCGTCTTTAAATATATGTATCGAGTGTTTCACTATGTGAGAACTTCAAAAGTTAGATGATAATTCTGTTTTGATACAGCTATCACAAAATCTGAAAACCGTTAGTATTGTTTTTGAATGAATAAGCATAGTGTACATCAAAAAGTGAATAAATATCTTCCTTTTTTTTGAGGTCTGCATTACAGAGCACTATTCGAAACATTTTAAATAGACCGCTATGATTAGAGGGCATTTGGAGACAATGAGAAAGATTCCGAAATCGAAGAATCCATATAATATAAATAAAGATCTTAGGAAAATTTCCGCCATTCCTAAAATTTCTAGATAGTTACCGAAAATTCTTCTACTTTTTGAGAAAAGGGAATCTTCAAATCTGTTCCTATGCTATTTTATTTATCTGAGATAAATAAAACAATTTATGAAAATTCCTAGGAATTACGTAAATTTCTGAGAAATTTTCCCGTTCTAGTTTTACTCGTATGTGAGGAATGACGTGGATTTTTGGAAAAATTTCTTTTTAGAATAATAGGAGCTGTAGGAATTTCGAGAAATTCCTGTTGACGTGTATATACAGTCTGTGCAAATTTATTTGGACACTTTCTATACTGATTTTGTAAAGCAAATTATACAGTGAAGAGAAAATATTTTCTTAACTTTGATTAGATCATTCGATATTCTATTCTACAAGTAAAAAGATTCTCTAAACAAATATTTTTTATGGATTGTCAAGCAACTCCTCGCTTTTTTGCACAAAAATTTTATTCGGACACATCTTTTATTCTTTTTCTAAAACATTAATTTTCAAGCAAGATACTTTGAAAAATAGCTCATTCGATAAAAAAGTGTTCTCTACATATAGGTGTAGTTTAAAATTGAAAATACCTTTATAAGATCTTGAAAATCTCAATATACTTAATTTATTATTAGTTTTCTAGAGAACTATGGATTCTTTTAGGTTTAAATGAATAAAAGCTTTACCTGAAATATATTATTCGATAGCGAACAAAAAACTGTATCGAGCGGTGTTCTTTACTTGCGAAATCTATGTTAAAAAGCAATAGCTACTTACTGATTACCATTGCTCTTTTTTGTAAGTCTTTCATTCATTTTCACTTTTCCGCTACAAAACAATCTCAGAAGCGTTTTTCAGAAAAACATGGTTGTAGAGAATTAAATTCTCTTCAAAATGGTGCATTTGGAGCCATGATAATTGTTACCCTTCGGGTTGTTAAAACGTTTTCTTTCCACATGCATATTCCCGATGTAGGAATAATGAACAATTCTTTTTCTTTCTGTTATTAACTATACGTTGGATAAAGAACTTCATACATATATGTGAAGAAAAGGGACCTTAACAACTCGAAGGATTTGGTGGTGGATAGATAAAAAAATCCTTATCCACCAACACCCACACCCTTAGTGCGACTGTTTAAGGATTGAAGAATTTGCTGGATACTGACGATGACAAAGATTTTCAAAAGAAAATGAAATTTCAAGACACTACCGTTTGCTTGCTCTATTCGTGTAGAAACTTGTGTGTTGACAACAAGAATAATGAATAATAGTAATGTATCGACGCTAGTCTTATGGAAAAAATAAAAAATGATGTAACTCGGAAGTACGTCACTGTACACGTTTAGCGTATGCGCATTCATCTGTTTACATTGAATAATGATCAATTATTATTCACGTACTAGGCTTTTTTTCCGATGGAAATATTACGTTTTTTGCTTGTTCTATCACTTACCAATCGAATAGCTTAAAGAATGAAAAGAAAGAATGAATCAGGGGCTAAAAAAAACATGTACTATAACTTAGTTTCACTCGGTTTTCTCCTACTTTCATAGATGATCAAAAAAAATGATTAACGCTTCGCAATCATGTGGTGGAGGCTAGTTGAAGCTATTTTAAAAGAACTCGCTTCATCTACTGAAGTAATGCCACAAGAGTATCAGGCAGATATACTGTGAGAAGCTCGATTGAATGATTAATTCAAGCTTTTGAGAGTGTGGACGAGAATTTGTAGTAAAAGAAGATCTACATTTACATCAACATACCTACGCTCACGCCATAATTACTATAGAGTTTACTGGAAAACCAGGAGCTCAGTGGAACTCTTAGGTTAAAATAAATAATATTATACCTGATCTCTAAACGAAACATCATCCATACAACAAGCTCTTATTCAAAGTAGCAATAAGATAGGGCAGTTAATTTGAATATATGAGTATACATTTAGATACTTGAATTAATACTAAGAAAAGCATATACCAAAAGAACCACTTTTGTATTTCATTCATACCCGTTGCTCAACACTTTGTGATCTTATTCTGCCGTGAGATAATTCTTTTTACTTAAATCTTATTAAATTCCAGATTTTTCTTACTTAGAGCAACTGTTAGATTTATAATGTGATCGTTCCAAATATGTTGTTCCAAACCAACACTTTTCTATTATATATTCCTGATTTCTTTGACCTAATTCTTTATCCAATACGTTAGGACTTTATTAGGATTCCTGGTTTGGAGAACTTTAGTTGATTATTCCTGATAAATGTAGGTTTCATGTAGATCTTTTGTTAAACAACGTTAGAATATCTTTGCAATATCAGTGACCAGTCAGTCATCAGTATTTCTCTGAGGCCTTGCTCATAGTCATTTGCTGTGTCGTTACAATACATTAAAACAATCATTGATTATTGTATATTAACCCAACAAGCTGCAACTTACATGATTCTTCTACATCACACTACGGCTTACTGAGACGTTCAACTCATTAGGTCATACTCCGATCCATGCATAAAACTATACTGTGGAGAGGCTACCGAAATTAAACAGTAGTCATAAATTCCAAATACGCAAAAAGGATTGCTATACTTCGTGTTTCCTTTTTTCAAATGCTGTTTTTCTCAAAAGAATTAGCTTTTTCATTAGATAACAATTGGGTGTGTGTGTTAGTGTTGGTGGGATGTGGGTGTGTAACACACCCACCCCCTTCTTTTTTACTTTTCTGTCGTGAATTTCTTAACACGACATCTTCGATCTATTGTTGTAACCCATTGTATGGTGTGTTTTAAAGAAAATATGAGCAATTTGTATCGGAAATCAATAGAAGTTGATCAAACAAAGACATGACCATTCATTCTAACGTATTCCTTCCTTGAAGTCATGACTTTTTTGTCACTGAATCGAGCTCAATGTTTATTTTACAATTTTCACACTTCATCAAGTTAAATTTTGACACATGATTGTGTTCTTTCAAATTTTTCAGCTCATTTTTTTTTGTATTCATAGATTCATAATCGGTTTTATTATCAACAAATAATATTTTTTTTTGTAACGAAATCTAACCCATGATCTTTTACAATAATCAAGAATGAGAAGGACATTCTTATGCATGTGGTCATGTCAACATCATTTATATTAATACAAGAATCAAAACAGCAACATCTTTTTATTTGTTTTTAAATTTTTGTTTAGTTAAAGCATTGACTTTTTATTCTTCATCATGGAATATTTTTTTATGTTCAATTACAGTTGACTTCTTAGAAATACATAATAAACCTGATATTGTGGAATTTATATGAAATTAGTGACATAACTTGCAGATAAATCAACTTTGCCGAAGTTCGTTTTTAGAAATATTTCAATTTCAACTTGGTTAGAAAAAAAAACTCTGTCAAACATGTCATGCTCTTCAGAATTGAAATTTTCGAAGATCTATTATTAAAAACTTTCCTAAAGACATTGTATTCTTTCTAATAAGGAAACATTCCAAACTATTCAATCACTTTTGGATTGAATATATGCTCAAACAATAGACAGCAGTGAATTATTAAACACCTTACAAGGGTTAAGTTTTCCAGGCCTCCTTTAGCAGAGATAAACGATTGTTACTGTTACTATTGTCGTTTTCAAAAAGCAGCGAGTGAGACTATTTTTCAAGTAACTAGAGAATAACAAGAGATAGACAGACCTATGAATTTTCATCATTCAAAAGAGAACATTCTGGGGCACGAATGCATGCCAAAATTCCATTGGTCACTAATCGACCAATCAGACGAGTTCTTCGTGAAGATTTTAGAAGCGATATTCTGAAAAAACTGTCCATTGAACTTTGACTTTTGATTTGATGATTCAAAAGAAAAAATTGTTCTCTTTCAATCTACACCAAGACCGACCTTGGTAGTTTGTTCCGCTTAGAAATTGTAAGGCTTTTACAGAGACCTTAGATTTCAGCTAATCGACATTGGGTCACTCTAAAAACAGGTCAGGACAGGAATAATTCGCCATGCTGAGTTGAGTGGTAATATTTGGTTTTAGTTTCAAACCGATTTCAAACCACTATAGAAAGATTTTCGAACTTTCACATCGTGCCATTATGTTGCATAGTGTCCATATTTCAAAAATCTTGATGTAGTGGTTTGAAATCTGTTGGAAACTAAAAACCAATATTACCATTCAACTTAATATGGTGAATTATCCCTGTCTTGACTTGTTTCAGGGTGATCCAATGTCAATTAGCCGAAATCGAAGGTCTATGTAAAAATCGTTATAACTCCTGAGCAGAACAAACTAGTAAGGTTGGTCTTGGTGTAGATTGAAAGAGAATAATTTTTTCTTTTGAATCGTTAAATCAAAAGTAAAAGTTCAATGGAAAACTTTTCATAATATCATTTCTAAAATCTACACTAAGAACTCAGCTGATTGATCAATTACTTATCAATGAAATATTGACGTACATTTATGCTCCGGAATGTTCTCTTTTGAATGATGAAAACCCATACGTCTCTCTATCTCTTCTAATTCTCTAGTTACTTGAAAAATAGTCTTACTCGCTACTTTTTGAAAACGACAATAGTAATGTCCTCACTTCTAATCTGAACATTCTCAAGTTATAGTCATTGGAGGTCACTTAGAGATGTAAGAGTCTAGATTACTTATTTGACTACTAGTTTTATTTCTTATTTTGATAAGCA